TGACCAGATTAAATGATTCTTCTCTTTGGATCCTCCCCGTATTCGGACTGTCAAGACATACCTTACTTGGTTTGCATATCAAATTTTGCTTTGGGGTTTCCCGTTGTTTCTTTTTGATTTCATGTTCAAGAACCAGATTGTGTTAAGGGCTGGACTTGGATCTCCATTCTTTTGTATTGGCAACCTGGGCTGTATTTTTGATTCTGCCTTTGGATTAACCCTGTTCCAGCCTGTTTACATATCGAAGAAACCAAATTATTCAATCTTGGATACATTAATTAAAATTTCTCCGTGAAGATATTTTTTGTTCTACAATAATATTATCCTTTTGGATTTCACACCTAGAGGGAAGGTTAAGTCACCTAGAAAATTTCATATTTTATTTAATTTACTTACACTTACCTCATTGCTAGGATCCTCCTTTTCTGCAATCTGAAAGAAAATAAAGAAAATATGTAATTAATTCAAACTTTTATGATATATATATATATATATATATATATATATATATAAAAACGCAACAAATAAACACATGTGGGTTCTCTTGGGAATTAGGAATTAGGCTACTTGATTGCCTTCCAAGAAAGTTACTTATATAATGCCATATTTTTTCCCCCATTACACTATACTTTTCTGTTTATCCCATTCCCTTTTGATTACAGTTTGTATTTTGTCTCACTCGCATAAGTTTTGTACATACTTTGGTTTACTTGATTTCATTGACTTCTCTCAATAAAGTCTATTTAGTTTTTTTAAAAATTCTCCCCGTAGCCCCCTCTCTCATTTATCGCTGTGCTTTAGATACCACGCATACTCTGTTCAAAACCAGCTGCATTTCCAGTCATCAGTAGAGGGGAAATGACACATGCTATTTTTTTTCTAACACACACTTATCAGTAGTCTTTACAATGCCAATAGATTTTTTGTTTGCTCTAAAACTAGGGGGGGGGGGGGCACCTGATCTGTCCCTATGGTCCAGCCTCTACTGTATATGTTATTTCCCTAAAACAGAATGTGATTTTTGGAGAATTCAATATATTCATCTACTTAATCTTATAAGAACAAAAAATATTAAAATTCTACAATATATTTTTATATTGCTGTATGTTGAAGATTGTGACTGGCATGGGATATTGTCTTATGTTTAGTTATTATATAAACAAAAACATCTCTGATGCTAGTTTGTAGTCTACTTTCTCTTGACAATTGGTCGCATGCCAAGAAGAGTCAAACAGGGATGATATTTTACGACAGGACTAATAGTACAAAGTTTAAATATCCACTGGGGCAAAATGGATTTTCTAATTTCTGACGGGTGAGAAAAAGCGTGTCCTTGTAAAATTCAGTAAGGTCTGGGAGGTTTGCTAAAGAGGTTCTGTCTCTTCTGAGTATTTCATAAAGATATAATGTAATTGCAATAAAATACAAAGATATTATAAGACAAATTAAAGGCTACTTTGTCTTATGAGCAAGCCTAAGGTTGACAAAAGGTGGAGCTTCGCTGTCAACATTTGTCTACTCTTAGCAGCTGATGCTACTGATGACTGTGGAAATAGAGCATTGTCTCACTCATCGTAAGATGTGATCTATAGAGTCTCTCTCGGTGATGAAGATGGAGTATCAGGAGCTGAAGAAGGTTCCTAAGTACAACATGGCAGCAGCCATGAGGGACAGCTGCAGATAATTATATCTACCTTCCACTTCACCCCCACCACCACCACACAGAAATGTCACCTTCAGGGTTTTTGTTTTGCAAAATATACAAAGATCCTGAAAGTGACAGATATGCTTTAAAGAAATAGGAAGTATACGGTCATTCTAAATAGGAAGTATACAGTCATTTGAACACTGAACAATTAACTCTAGCAGAAAGAAAAGAACCCCGAAGCATCCGAAGGTTAGAAATGTCAAGTGAGTCTCTATTTTGTGAATAAAACTCAATTTTAATCAAAACCACCAAGAAATCTTCATTGCCTTTATAAAGGAATGTGTGATTTAGCCATGAATCATATATCTTGTGATTTGTAAATGAAATTATTAAATATGTTTTATTTCTGGAAAATCAGCAGCCTTTAATAAAAAAACAAAAAAAAATTACCTTTGCGTAAATAATTTTTTTGTTGATTTTTTTTATATTTATTTCAGCTTTTGGTTAACTATTATTTTTCAGATGCAATGTATATTTCATGGAAGATTCCCTAACAAATGCATCATGTAATATCAGCAGTTAGATTATTGATATAAATTATTTAGTGTTTTGAAAATATTAAATTTTTTATGGATATATTGATTTATTTCAAGACTGAGCTTCCATGTATATGTGCTGTTTTTAGATTGTGATGTTTCTCATTTGACCATTACAATCGGAGCATGTCAACCTATTGTATTATACCTGTATATATTATTTTATAAAACATTTGAATAGGTGGGTGGTAAATAACATCTCTTCAAGGTGGTTGTTCTTCAAAGATACATAGTTTGGTGCATTATATAAGATCAAAGCAAAATCTAAGACAGCTGGACCTCATCTGTAGATAATAAGGTGTTCTAGAGTTATAGATTGTATCTAAGAAAATTGCAATCTCTGCACATCAAAAGTAGACAAATGGAATTTGGCAAACTGTATATGAGTTTTTCAAAGAAGAGATTTTGTTTGTTATTAGGACAATAGAAATTTACTTCTGTTTAATCAGTAGTAATATCTGAAAATAAACATATATTAAAAAATGTTGTTTGTGAGACTGTTACTATTTTTCTTATCATGATAGAAATCTGGCTCTTTGGGTTACATCTTGCTTAATAGGATAAGGGGAATTCTTTACGGATGATTCTCTACATCTACTCTTTTGCAAAATTGGATTCCTGGAAGCAGACTACACCAGAATGTGCTTGCATAGACTCCAGGAAAGCCAGGTGTCTCCTATCCAGTGATTTTATTATTAAAGTGCAATACAGTTATATATAAGGTAAAAATGTTCCAATGTTGCTTGGCATCCATAGCTAACTGGAAAACTAAAAAGTAGAAAGAACTTTTTTTCCTTGGCATACTTAAGTGAAGTATGGAGGAGAAAGTTTGTTGTACCCACTGGAGCCCTCTTTAAACCCTCGGAAGAAATAATTACAACCCAAATAAGGCTGACATCATCTTATTAAAACATGTGGAAATGCAAAGATGGTAAGATAAAATGTTCATCATCTATTTAAAAAGTTGACTTCTCTCTTCTTTTTACTAGACATTAGACTGGAGTTCGGGTGATAGGCCGATTGGACGAATTCCTGTACTCCAAAATGAATGTGCCAGAATTATGGACCAAATGAAATAAGTAATGCCGAACATGTTTGGTTTGGGGTCATAATGCTGACTTTCACGGCTAGAGGACAGTCTATAATATGATGATTATATATACAGATAAAGTCAGAAGTAAGCAACAGAGGCAAAAAACCCTATATTTAAATAATATATAAATATAGATTTTGTTTACCGCTGCTCCCATTTGTTCCTCTCTTGGTTACTTTGTCTCACTTGATCTCTGAACCATATGGTGGGAAAATGCTCCTGTTATACAAATAATATTATGTTATGTATATATTTTGCAGCACACTGATTGGCCCATATTCACACCATTTTTGTTCTTCTGATTATATTTCTGATAGGAAACTGATGGTGGCAATTGAAAGAATGTATGCTTTTTGCCTGCAAATATTTCTTGCTGTTAGGGAGTTGTAGAACCTGGGACATGTCCAGAAAGGGATAGGGTCTACCCAGATCAGCCTGGTGTGAATGCTTGTCAGACAGCCTGTCAGTCATGCTGGTCAGCCAACTAAGGGCATACTATACAGACAGCACCCTGGCTTGGCGCAAATGCGTCTAATGATGTGCTTTCTCTATGCTTTCTGGGAACTGTCCTTGTCCACTCCTCTCCTTACCTTCTAACTAGCAGGCAGAAGCTTCAGACAGAAAAAAGGTGGACATAGGAAGTGTAGAAAAAAGGGGACATGCCACAGTGTTAGAGAGACTGAAGCAGCAAGTCAGCTTTACCTTAGCTAATTTCATTGTCATCCAGTTCACACAAGTTTTGTTCCCCTACATCCCTCTTACGTTTCTATACTTAATACCCTCTGCACAAAACAAGAGATCCATTAGCCCCTATGTTAATCTGACCTTGAGAGGATGCCCAAGACTGTCAAGATATATATCTAGGTACTCCTCTCTCCACAAATAAATAAAAATGCAATTATCAACAAAATGAAATGCAAAATATGCATATTTATCATCAGGGTAGACACCATTAGTTGACGCTCTTCAGCATGTTGACAAATTCAGCCCTGATCATACCACATTCCTCTAACAAATGTATAATACCAAAATATCAGTGTGTTATTCTATTATGTTGTTTATCATATCTGATTATCTGGCATACTTTACTTAACTCCGCAATGTTTTTATTTATATTAAGGAGACTTTTATGTTTTTGTTCATATTATATTAGTATGCTCTCTGCTTCATTTCTTCACATGACAATTGTCCAAATTACGACAGTGTGCACTGTGCACTGTACTATACCACTGTATCTTAAAAATATTCAAAAAAATATCATAGAAAAAGGCCTGGCAATGTTTCAACACATAATGTGGAAAATTTATCAAAGTGTCACTGGAACTTTTACATTTAATAATTTTAAGCAAATGTTTGATAAAATGTATTAAATCTATTGGGTTTTTCATCTGTTCCTTTTTTGTGCCACAGGTTTATAAGTTTTTCTGCCACTTTCTTCCAACAGACAAGAGTTTTAATTTCAGTAGTGTTTTCCTACCAGCCTAAATTTGACAGTCTTCTGGCAGAACTTGCTATGAATAAAACAGCAACTTTTTAGATCACTTTTAGATAACTTTAAGAAATATGATGAGGGTGTGGCTTGGACTCCGACTGGAATGGCAGCATAGGCACTGATCATCCCCAGACCCCCAGGAACTTGCATTCTGGCTCTCTAACTAGCCCCATGGATGGGTTTCTGCATGCCCTAGCCGGAGCCAGCCATGAGGTATCGGATTGCAACATGGTGCCGTCTCCATCATACTCCCCGGTGGGGTTGGGCCATGCCACTCTGCACAGCATCTGTGCGGAATTGCGATCCCTAGCTGCCGGGATGGTCACTAAACAAGACCTGCAGACCCTCACCTCCATGCTCAATGACACCATAAAGGCTGAATTGGCCTTGATTCACACGAAGGTGAATGAGCAAGGGACACGGATACAGGCCCTGGAGCAAACTACACAGGAAACTTCTTCTGATGGAGGATAAACCCATGACGACGACTTTTAAGAGGTGATGGGAAGGTTTACTGGGCACCCAGTTTACGGACACGCAGTGGGAAAAAGTTTTCATTCTGCATCACAAGAGCTTGATCAGTTCCAGATATCGAGAGACAAACTACAAGCTATTGTCCAGCCGGTATCGCACTCTGAGTCTTTTGCATAGGATTTTTCCTGCAACCTCACCCCTTTGCTGGAGGTGTGAACAGAGTGAGGGAATGATGGCACATATCCGGTGGAGCTTCCCCCAAATTGTTCCTTTCTTGGACATGGTGCGGGATACCATGTCTGACATTTTTGGTGAGCCACAACAGCTAAATGCGGAACTGGCGCTGCTATACCTCACCCATGTACCAATCTCAACCTATAAAAAAACTCTATAACGAAACATCTTCTCAACACAGCTAAAGCCCTGATACCCGCCATGTGGAATCACACAGCTGCTCCCACCAGGGAACAGTGGTTGGGTAAAGTAAAAGATATTCAAGCAACGGAGGCAACTCAGGCAGAGCTGCAGGGTTTACGAGATAAACATGCAGACCACTGTCGGCCATGGTTCACATATATAGCAGACAGGATACGAGGGGTCGTCGATGGGTCTGTTGGGGGGGCAGAGCGGGGAAGGTAGGTCTGAGGCGGAACCTGCAGATGGATGAATGGCGACATACCAATGCACTTCCACCAACTGGGTCCACCATAACATACTCCGTTCTTCTCACTCTTCAACTGTCTTTACGTGTAACTACTTTCCTTTGCTATTTTTCTCTCTTCTTTTCTCCCATTGCCCTTCCTACCTTCCATCACAAGTTTTTCTCATCTAAGCTTCAATTACTCCTGTAGTGTGTTACTTAAGTTAGCTACCCCTGAGATACTGTACACTGTTTATTTTTGTTAAAAAAACAGGGAAGAATAGTACCGCAATATATGTTTTTGTAAGCTGCATTTTCTGATCTATGTCTCTGTAATGATGTATTTGCATATTCTTCGTGACTTGTATCACTATGTAAATGTCTCAATAAAAACTGATTTACAAAAAAAGAAATATGATATATACATATTTATTATTATTATTTAAAAAAAAAATTTACTGCTCTTCCTTGTTTCCTTCCATTGGTCACGTCTTATTTGATTTGTGAATACAATCAACATTTCATAAGTGTCTCTTAGCCATCAGTCTTATTTGTCCCCCCACCATCAATCATCTCTTTTTTTTGGTGCTACAGGCAGAATTCAGAATCACAACTCAAAACAAGCATGTTTTACCACTGTGTGTTTCATTTTTTTAGTTATTCGGCTACTTTTCATCTTGAACTTCGTGAATTCGAACAATCACCTTATCTGTCCAAATTTGGATGAATTGCAGTTCGTAATGAAGCAAATCTCCAAGTCTAATTACACCTTAGATTTTCTATATTTGTTGATAATGATTGTTGATAACTAAATTACCTTTGGTTTTCTCTCTGTGATGGAATTAGTGAACAAGAGGGTCCCATGCTTACACTAGGAGGGACAGAGTTTTATTTGATAGTGTAATATAATTAATATTATTAGAATTATATTACATAACATATTTTAGGTCATAATATAAATGTTCCTAACTCTCTGCTGCTCCGTCTTGTAAAACTTGTGAGAAAAGATTAACAGCCCAAACAAAATCCATCTGTCTACTCACAACAGACGTCATAGTCCCCAAGTACAATGTTCAAAGTGTATACTTTTGTCCACTCCATTGAATCTGTTTTTGTTTCATATGCATTTCTAGATATTTTTCTTTTAATTTTATTAAAAAAAATTATGAGCTGTGGACAAAAATAAAAGTATAATTAATGGCTGAAATGTTAGAACATTTTGGTACAATTGCAAATACGTAAATGTGTGAAGCAACTGACATTTTTAGACCATTGAAGTGCTAAATTGAGTAAAACTACTATCAAGAGTCAGTCTGTAACCTGTCCTTGGCAACTTTATTCCTTGAAACATGGTTAGCTGCATAAGGACATATTTCCAAATTGCTGGAGCCTATCTATGTGCAATGATGTGTTCAGTGTTGATATGTTTATTTGGGGGAAATTCTACAAGTCAGCTAATCTCTAAAGGCATACTTTCTACAAAATAACCTATGACAACTGCCTCACAATGCTGGTGCATAACAGGAATCAGGTGGTTGCTGACTTTTCTAAATTATGTAGTAATTCACAAACTGAGAATACCGCACTCACACTTAGGAATCCAGGTGCTTATCAGGGCCAGGGTTGGCAAAACCCAGTTTAGTGGTTAAATAAATTAAGTTCAGGCTCTCAGGATTGCTGCAGGAAGGCAGGTTTATTGAAACCAAAACTGCAATGTTTTGGCCTACACTTGAAAAATGGACTTTGAAGTCTATTACCATTTATGATATTTTAACAATAAAGGTAATTCCAGTGACGTGGGTCCCATCTAATTTTTATTTGGAGACCTAACCTCACTTTTTCTATTTTTCAAGTGTTGATGTTAATTGGGTTCATGCCCCCTATTACCTCGATAACCTTCTCTATGGCAACAGTAAAGGTTTTTTCTACATCTGGGGCCGTATCTTCTCTAAAATGAAACATGTAATGATGAGCATTGTTATAATGGATTGAGATGTTTTGAATAAGAAGCCATTATAGGCATACCATAATGACATTTCCAATTTTACTTAAGTTAACATATTTAAAGTGTGTATCCAGGTAGAGATGCTAATTATAATGATGGATGAGCAAGCTTCCTGGTTTAGTGAAACTATTAATGAGTGATTTGATGAAAAACAGAGATGTGCCTGCACCCAAACCCCAGCTCTCCACTGTTTAGAAATATTGTAGGAATTCATTCAAGTTTTGATGGCAACAGTTGTGAGTGCTGTAGACAACTTTTACCAATGACCACTGCCTATCCAATTTACCATCCAAATTTAGACATATTTTTATGAATTTGCAGGATTTATGTGGAAGTAAAACTTTTGTATTATCTTAGCGGCTGCAGACAGCCTGAGTTGTAAATGAGAAAGGTCTGTGGTTTTTTTTTTTTTTAAACTGTTTGAAAACTATTTGTTAAAAGGTTGAGGGACTTCTCAGAAAACACCTTTTGCACCATAACCACTACATTGAACTGCAGTGAGTTTAATACGTATTAAGAATCCCTTGAGGAGGCTCAGCGATTTTACCTTACTTACAGCTGACTTTTACCTTACTGCTTTTACCTTACTTACAGCTAGACACAAAAATTCTAATTTTTCAATGAAAATATTTTTTGCAGTAAAGGAGTTAAATGCCAAGCTCTGTTGAAAAATAAACACAAAGATTTAATGGAAATGTCATAGAAAATCACTGAATATGGTTTTAACCGGGAAAACACGGTAAATAATTAAGAAAAGTGAAAAGCGATCAGCAGAGAAATAGATTAACAGATTGCTTCCAAGGGCAGAGATTACAAGTGAAATATGAATGCTTTATGATGAAATACAATAGTTCCTTGTCTTGGTGTTTTTAAGAATGAAGAACACCTGCTCTATTTATCAAGGTTAACTGTTATCTACACAAGTAATAGACTCTGCTACATAACTCTAATATATACAGCTCAAAATTGCAGGAGCTATAATTTTAGAAACTGGGAGTAATTAAAGCTCAATGCAAATTAAGTAGCCTGATAATGTGTGATTGCAATATATGTCATATATCTTTTTATTGTTAACCTGCAGAATCGTAAAATAAACATATAGCAAATAAATATTACATCTTTAAGATATGAACATGTGGCTCATTTTTCAAATAGAAAGGGGATCATATTTTATGCATTCTTGTGTATTCATGGAACTATGCTTTATACATGTGGGTAGGACTCAAAATTACAAAGGCCATAGTAATCAAAATGCAAAGTCAGGTCCAGAGTGTTTTTCCAAGAAAAGAAAATAGTGAGAGTTGGAAGGATCTTTGTAGCCAGTGGGGGGTCTACAAGAAGGATATTATTGAGGTGGTATTCTGCTGAAGCCATGAGGCCTTCAGGAAGAGCTAATGTAATTCAAATTATGGCAGGATTGGATTAATTAATGACAGGATAAATGAGGGCAAATGATCATTTCTGTGAGTGATGGCATTTGAGTAATGCATGCCCAGGTGGTAGTATTTTCATGTGGAAAGCTGGCCTGGTTATCCAGCAAAGTAGACCACAAGCTATGACTCAAGCTATGAGATAAAGTTCCACCCAGACCACCTCCTTTCCTGCAGGGAAGTGAACCAGGAGGTGAGTGGATGGTGTAAGTTACTATTGCCCCAGGAATTTGGTGGGTATTCAGTTTGCTAGAATGTGTTCAGAAAAAAACTGAAGTGAGGCTGCTTGTCGGAAAGCTAAATATTCCACAAACTGTTATAGTGGCCTTCGATGACTGATTAGGGCCAGATGGGTCCTTATCAAATTCACTGCATGGACAGTGTATATGTCAGTTAATAGAACCTGTACTGGTTGGAATGGTTATGAACAGAATGGAATTAAACTGCTCAAATGGGCGAGCTCCTGATCAAAATGTAAAGCCAGCACAGCATTCTGTCAGGCTGTAAAAAGAAGATACCGTTAGGACAGAGAAAAAACTTGAACTTTACATATTCCTGGATATCTTAATTCCCAGATACCTTTAATTTACTTTTTATTTTTCCCATGCTATGCAATATCAGTCGTGAGCTGGCACTCAAATGAACCATTTTATCCATCACAGCAACAGATACTTGCATTGGGATTCGATCCAGTACTCCAGAGTGTAATAGCGTAATCCTGATATACCAGCTATACAGCATGTGAAAATAAAGGTGTTTTACAGTGCACACTATGGGTCTTTAATTATTTTTTCAGACCCAGTGACCACTTGTATGTAAAGCAATACTTGGAACCAGCATTATCATAGGACTTCTAATACACAGTTGAGACATATTTTTGTTGCTGCATAGAGCTTTCCCTACTATTTCATTTTAATAATTCACT